ACAGAAATTGCAATAATAAATTCAACACATAGAGATGAGACAACTGTTTTGTGTTGCCAATTTCTAATATTTGCTCAAAGTGAATATATTATTAAAAATTTACTAAAGTTTTTGACCTGCTGTATCAATATTACCTTTTCAAATGTGAAGTCTATTTTCGCCCGAAAGTCCACTTTGCTAATTTTATATTTTCTTTGCATGGTTTGAATAGTTTAACATTAGAATTGGTAAAAGCATTTGTTTGTATGAGTGTGTGGGTGTATGCAAGTCAATTTTTGACCATTTGTCAAAGTTTTCTCAGAAATGGGTGCAGTATTAAAGCTTTAAAGTTAAAAGGTCATTTGATGTAGCTCACTTAGGACTTACATCGACTTTGATTTTTACGATGATCGGTTGTGCAGTTTTTTTAAATTAGTAGAATTAGTAGAATAGAGATTATGCTGGAGAAGATAGAGTCCGTCTCTTCGTAATGTGATTTTTTTTTATAATTATGATCTAAGTTTGTATGATGATATTCACAAACATCCTCTAACTCCAGAAGGAGAGGGTTGTATTTTCCAGATAATCCGTCTTGCTAATATTATGTTTTTTTCGTCGTTTCAAGTCATCGGGATCAAATTTTGAATAAGTATATGTATATGTATGTGTGTTTGTGTGGACATGTTTATGTGAGCCTATATTAGACGTTTAGACGATTTCTCAAAAATGGCTTGACCGGTTTCAAAAATTGAAAACCATTCGATATAGACTCGAATGGTAAAGATCTGCCAAGACGTTTTTTTGTAATTAAACGTCAAAATTTTGATATGGTGGTAGAGTTCCTGATGTAAATGAACATCGTAAAATAGTAGAGGCCTATGTTTGGTATTATGTGCCGTGCTTCTAGGTCATACAACATATGTTTGAGCACAAAAATTAATATAATAATAAATATTATAAGTTTGTTTGACAACAATTACAACACACATGCATTAATTACTTTTTAGTCAAAGATATAAAATTATGTTTTAAATAAACACTTGAGCATTTTATCGAAATAGATAAATTACAATTCTTATTGAGTAGGTCGTGTGTACACATATGAGAAAGTTTATGCAACTTGCCTTAAGGCAAATGATCACTTACAATTCTTTTTTTAATATTATCATGATGTTCATCCTTTTCTCACCTTTGGTTATATCGTCTGGAAGAGATTTTAATATACTTCGAGTACTCCCAATATAATCAATACATTTTTTCTTTCTATGAAATATTTGTATAATTTTACTATTTTCTTACTAATTTATAATTTTCTAAAAGCAGAAACTTTTTTTATATTTCATTGCAATAATAATTAGTATTGCATATTTGTCATTTTGTTTAGATGTAAATTTATCATTTATCAATATTATTGTAATTACATATGACAAGTACTGTTCAAATAAGAACATTCTTAGCTCAAATCTCTTTATTGTGTTATTATATTATTCTAATAATTTTGATAACAGTTTTGCTAGAATTTTTCTCTATTGAAGGTTAATTGACTTTTGAGAATCAAAAAACAGTTTTGTTTGCATAGAAACAATACACTTTAACTTTGTTTGCTAAAAATGTAATTATTTTTATAGATTGCAGAATAAAAATAAAATTAAAAAAAAACTTAGTTTTTAGTTATAAGTAAATGAACTAATGTATAAGAAAAGTCAAATAACCTATGTTATAAATCAGATATGAAATAAAACAAAAACTTTGAATTTTAAATTAAAAATATTACGAAGTTAAGTTGAATTGAGTTAAATTATAAAATGTAAACATAATATGTTTATTCACCTATAAACTTATTTCTCATATTTATTAATTTTATCATAGTCTGAATTAAAAATGACATTTTTTATTAGGTTTAATTGATATATGTACCCTATATAAAAGCTTACTGCATTAAGCTTAAGCTTAAAATTTGACTTAAAAGAGCTTATATTTCAGTATGAAAAAAATCAAGAAAATTTATAATGACTAATAATGATTGAAATATTATTTCTAATAGAGTAGGGTTTAAGCTGTAAACAGCTCTAGGACATTAGAAAGTAAATGGGAAATTTATTTTTAAGAAAATTATTAATCTCAAAAAGAAGTTCGCTTTTTATTGATATTAAAATAATACAATTAAGAAACATTTGAGATTAAAATATTTGGAAGTATTTTTATTAAAATTTTAGAATATTCTTATTAAAAATAAAATAATAAATGTTATATCAAATTTATTATGTACTTTGTGAGTAAGAAACCGTTGCCTTTTTATTGAAATTGAAATATGTAATACAATTAAGAAACATTAAAGATCAAAACAAAATTCATTATAGATTAGGTTTCAGGTTTTGTATATACTCTTTCATTTTTTAATTCATGTGAGCAATAAAGTAATGAAACTAGCTGTAAGTGGAATTCTGTCTTAAGGCAATTAGGGCATCGTGCCTTAAGGCAAATTGCTGGAACTTCCCGTACCAAAAATTATTATTTTTTTTTAAAACGATTAACATTTTTGAAAAAAAATTACTTTTAAAAAATAAGATTTTTGAGAAACTATAAATTGGACAAAAAATTAGTTTTTTTTGAAAAAAAAAAATTTAAAAAAAAATTTTTTTTTTGAAAAAAAAATTTTTTTCTCTATTTTGACATATTGTGGAAGATCTGAACTTTTTTTGCAAAGCAATCGTACTGCTTTAACTACATAGGGACAAAATATAAAGCGCGTAAGCGCCGCGTCGCTGTCTAACGCATAAGCATTGGTACGGAACCGATAGGAATGTTAACAAAATGTATACTTATTGTTAAAATCTCTATAAAATGTCTGATAATTTGATGTGCATATGTCTAATGATCATTTTTGACCGCCAAATGGCTCATTTTTTTACTTTTTCCTCTATATCTCCGAAACCGCTGGACCTACCTTCATGAAAGTTGTATCGATTCTTCATCTTGTCAATACAAATAAAATGTTCTTTGAATTATTAAAATCGGACGCTCCGTTCTCTTAAAAACTCTGTTACCGTTTTCGGAACTTTTTGCCCCGTATCTTCGGAACGGCTTGACCTGCCTTTGCCAAAAACTAATCAGCACGTCTCCTTATCAATACGGATCGAATGTTTTTTGAATTATTCAAATCGGTTGATCCGTGTTCCCGAAATCGTCGACGAAAATTTGTATCCGCACATACATACACACACATACATACATACACACACACATACACACACACACACACACATACATCCATTTTTTCTAAGGTATGCCAAAATGTTCAGAAACCTCTGAAACGTAAAGATATATAAAAATTTTCATTTTCGATTTTTTTGCGATTACTATAACTTGCCCTACGGGAAGTTAATAATTAACCTTGAATAAGCCAAAATTAGTCTTCTATTAAATTATAAATAATAAAATCAAAGGAGTGCTTTTGAAAGCCGGCGTGACTTCTTTTAATTGACTTCATAAAATATCAATTGTTATTATACTTGTTCATTATTAATTATTAATATATTTGATTGTAAAATATGAATAAAACATATATATTTACTATGAATAAACTATACGAGACCTTTACCCTGTAGACAAACAACAATTATACAATTAGTACTTTTGCTTATCATACTCAATTACTAAGCCGTTTTTAAGAAAAATGTCTTATCTTGAGTAGGTAATTTTTTATACGATACACTATTTCTATTGATACATGCAATTCTGAAATCGTATATAAAGCAGTGCAATTTGTGACAGAAGTATACTTGAAGTCAGTTCTTCAGATATTTACTAAATATTGTGAAATAAATCATTTTCAAAATGGTGTCCAAAGTGTTTGTTGCTCTTGCCATCATTGGCTTTATAGGGGTAAGTTTTGAATCAAATATAATAAATAACTAATATTAAATATTTTAATAAAATGCTATATTCCTAACAATAAAGGCTGCACAAGCCTTTTTCGAACAAGATGCCGTCTTAGATAAGATGGTAGATGACATCTCTGCTGAATATGAGAACAGCATTGCAAGAATTAGCCAAGATAGCAAAATTGATATGATTGCCGCTGAATTCGAAAAACAAGGATTTGCCCCTGAAGTCGATAGAGATTTGGAGAGGGTAAGTTCAATTTAACATAATATTTATTATACCTCGTCAATTCTGACTTCAAGACATCGCCTGTTTAATTGTAGTTCAACAAAGAAGTTGAAAGGAAACTTAGCAAAAAAGTGAGTGAAGCCGCAAAGGAATGCCTTAAAGGCCAACACCAAAAAGCTCTAGGCTACGCACAAGAAGCCCGTGCTAAGGTCAAGGCTTGCAGAGATGACAAACGTGATGAATTCAACCAAGTTCGCCAAAATGGCTTGGCCGCCTGGAGAGAAGCCAGGGAGAACGCCGAAGCCCTCAGAGCACAAGCCAAGGAGTGCGTTGTGACCGCAGCCGATGTCGATGAAGCCAGAGTTTGCTTGAAAGGGGTAAGATATTTATATAATAATATCATGTTTTAAAATATTATCATAACTTTTTGAATGTCTGGAAAATTGTTTTTTTATGGTTTGAGATATAACTTTTTGAGATATCCTTACTTTTTCCGATCTATCTCATTTTGTTTTGTAATTTGTGGTATCCCGAAGTTTGATAAATCATTCAAAATATAGAATTTGTTTATCCAAGTTTTTTATTTTGCTTTGTTTTAGGTTCTCCAAGCTGCCCACGAAGGAGCAAAAGACTTGGCCAAGGCACTCAAAGAAACCTGGTCCCAATTGGGCAACTTAGTCCGTGAAGTCGGAAAATGCGCAAGGGGAGCCTTGAAAGAATTTAGGGACAACTTAGTACAAGTCCGTAAAGACTGTGCCGACTGCTTAAAACTTACTGATAACTAAATTAGTTTAAGAATTGTATAACAAACTGTAAACTTCCTAAAAATGTCTAGTGATATATTATTTGTGGTCTAATGGTTCTAGCTTATGTAGCTTTTTGACAAATAAAAATTGTTTATAAAAAGATTTCAAGTTTTTTATATGTTATAATTATATGCTGTATTTATTATAAAAATCATTAATAATATAATTGATCACCATTATTTTTCGCCGCCATCGGTGATTTTGAGAATGCAAACAAACAGAATGAAAATAACTTATTTGTTTCTACGGTTTATGATTAAACTACCCTTTCTATTTTTAAGAATTTCAAATATTCTGTGCGACTTTTATACATTTGTGGAATAAAGTCTTATTTTTAAGAATATAATTATTAATAAATATTTAATTATATATATATATATATATATATATATATATATATATAATGAAAATTGTCTCCATGCCTATTGCAAGAAATGTAAATGTATAGAAGTGTAAATTATTACATCATATTTACCATTAATACTTAAAAATCTCTCCTTTCATATCATAGTTTTTACTAAAAAAATACGAATATTATTCTAAAACAAACTATTTTAATTAACCAAAACGTTATGAAAATAAGATTTAATGTGATTAATCACAATGTTACGAAAATATACAATAACCTAAGATTGTCAACATATATTACATTTTTTTTAACAATTTTTAAAGTTTATGCCATATTTATTGCATAATTTACATACTGAATAATTGTAATAAATTAGTTAAAATATATTACATAATCATATTTTGCATCATACTAGTCAATTATATTACTATTTATTTTCATTAATGAATATAATCGATATGTATCATATATGTAATGACAACGCTCTTCATGGAAAAATAGTAATAAATTGTAATCATATAAATTGTTTATTTTCTAACTACATTTTGATAAAACAAAAGATCATCAAATTATATTTATTAACTTCCCGAAGGAGAAGTTTGTTCTCATCAAAAAATTCGAATCGTTAATTTTATGTTTTCTCGATGTTTCAAAGCCATTCTGAATCGAATGAGACCAAATTTGGAAAAAGTATGTATGTGTATATGTGAAGAGATTTTTCACCGAAAATCGACGTTTTCTCAAAAATGGCTGGACTTATTTCAAAAATTTAAAGACCATCTCGATGAGGACTAGCGTTTATCAATTTGTCGGATTTGGAATTTTTTGTTTGAAAAAAAAAGTTTTCTTTATTTTGACTTTATTTTTCAAAGCAATCGTACTGCTTTAACTGCATAGAGACGAGATGTCAAAGCGCGTAAGCGCCGCGTCGCCGTATAACGGATAAACATTGGTACGGAACCCATAGGAAAATATCTGATAATTTGATGTGCATATGTCTAATGATCATTTTTGACCGCCAAATGGCATTTTTTTTACTTTTTTGGATTTGATCCATTCTTTATCTTGTCAATACAAGTAAAATGTTTTTTGAATTATTAAAATCGGACGCTCCGTTCTCTTAAAAACTGAGTTACCATTTTCGGCACTTTTTGCCCAGTATCTTCGGAACCGCTAGACCTGCCTTCACCAAAAACTAATCAGCACGTCTCCTCGGCCGACTATTGCAAATATATCAATTTTATTGAATGTCATTTACTGGATAGTTGTAAATAAAAGAGATAATAATGAAAAAAAAAGTTAGAATAAAGTTATCTAAAAGTAATTTCGTATAAAACTTTAATATAAACATTTTGTTACTTTGGTAAGTACAATTGCATTTAAAAATTTATATTTTTAACGTATTATTTTATTATTTCACTGATTCATTTATCTTACTATATTCAAGTAAGTTTTGGTTTGATTGATATCCGACTTCACACACTTCTTGACTAGGTCACTAAAGTCATCTCCAATCTTAGTGCGAATTCCATCGAATATATTCAAGTTATCATCCCTACAATCCTTAATCTTTGGACGGGTTTCTTGTGCTAAATCTTGAGCTTTTTGCTGTTGGCCTTCAAGGCATTTCTTGGCGGCTTCACTCACGTCTTTGCTTGAACTACAATTTCTTCAAATTAGAAATCTTAAGTTATAATAAATATTATGATCTATTTAAACTTACCCCTTCCAAATATGATTTGACTTCGGGGTCTAATCCTTGTTCTTCATCAGATGGAACAATGGCGGCCTAAGTTATTACAAATATTAACAACTTATTTTTTTGTAAATAGTAATCATTTTAATTCTTATATTTACCTGAACGCAGGCAACTGCAGCCAAAGCGACTACGAAGATTTTGTACATTTTGAAATAAATTTGTTATTATACTGTGCTGACACAAACTTATTCTGATTGTTTTTTCTGTTGACACGACCTTTTATAAATATTCTTATCAATTTTCAAATGATTAAGAGTATTAAGTCCAGATGAAAATGTACAAAAAGTTTTGTATCCATATTTGTAGTAATAAACTTGCTAAATTAAAAAAAAAAATACTGGGTTAGATAAGTATCCAGGTTACTAATACGTACTGCTTATTAATTTTTATTGGCATTAATCTATTGACTTTAAAATAGAAAGACATTAAAAAATGAACCTACTTGTTAGCTTTTTTTTAATTTTATTACTCACTGGATAACATATTTGATAAAACTACTTAATGTCTAACATGTATATAAATTAGAGCAATTCCATCTAGTAATCTCTTATAATTATATTCTGTATAATCTTGAGATTTATGTTATAATTCAATTGTTTGTAAAATTGTATTAATTTGATTCTATTTTAAAGCCAAAAGATTAGTATCAATAAAAATTAACAAGAAGCACGTATTAGTAACCCAAATACTTATCTAGCCCAGTGATAATTCAATTTTTTTTTATAATTTAACAACTTTATTACTATTAATATGGATACATAACGTTTTGTACATTTTCATGTGGACTTAATACACTTAATCGTTTCAAATTTGATAAGACTCTGTATAAAACGTCTCGCTGATTGAAGAAAAAAATTAGATTCAGTTTATTCAGTGTAAAAAGAACTAATTTATTTCAAAATGTACAAAATCTTCGTGGTCACTTTGGTCGCAGTAGCGTATTCACAGGTATATGCAATAATAATTATCTGTTATAAATAACTATTTTACAATAAATTTATTGCTAATATTTATATTAACTTAGGTCTTCGTCTATCCACTCTCCGAAATCGATAGAATTTTTGAAAGTGTAAGTTCAAATACATCATAATATTCACTATACCTCAATATTTGTAACTTAAAGAAATTGTTTGCAGTTCAATAAAGAAATTGAAAGTGAACTTAACAAAGACGTGAGTGACGCCGCCAGGGAATGCCTTGAAGACCAACAGCAAAAGGCCCAAGATTTTGCACAAGAAACTCGTTCTAAGACTAAGAGTTGTAGGGAAGATAACTTAAAAATATTCGATGAACTTCGCACGAAGGAAGGCGTGCAAATTGGCCATATAGCCAAGCAGTGCGTACGCGCAGAGGACGATAATTCGGTTTCTGCAATAAGTTGCTTGAAACATGTAAGATAAATAAAACTTTACAATCATTACTTTTAACTAGCTGTAAGTGGAATTTTGTCTTAAGACAAATTGCTGGAACTTTCCGTACCAAAAATTATTATTTTTTTTAAAATGATTAACATTTTTGAAAAAATTTTACTTCGAAAAAATTAGATTTTTGAGAAACTATAAATTTGACAAAAATTACTTTTTAAAAAACAAAAGTGTTTTGAAAAGAAAAATGTTTTCTTTATTTTGACATATCTTAGAAATTCTGAGCTTTTTTTCAAAGCAATCGTACTGCTTGAACTGCATAGAGACAAAATGTCAAAGCGCGCAAGTGCCGCGCCGCCGTCTAACGCATAAGCATTGGTACGGAACCCATAGAAATGTAAAAAAAATTATACTTATTGTTAAAATCTCTATAAAATATCTGATAATTTGATGGTCATATGTCTAATGATCATTTTTAACCGCCGAATGTCATTTTTTTTTACTTTTTTACTTAGATCTCCAAAACCGCTAGACCTGCCAGCATTAAAACTTGATCAATTCTTCATATTGTCAATACAAATAAAATGTTTTTTGAATTATTAAAATCGGACGCTCCGTTCTCTTAAAAACTGAGTTACCATTTTTGGCACTTTTTGCCCCGTATTTTCAGAACGGCTAGACCTGCCCATGCCAAAAACTAATCAGCACGTCTCCTTATCAATACGAATCGAATGTTTTTTGAATTATTCAAATCGCTCATCCGTGTTTCCGAAATCATCGACGAAAATTTGTATCCGCACACACACACGCACACACACACATACATCCAGTTTTTCTAAGGTATGCCAAAATATTCAGAAACCTTTGAAACGTAAAGATATATAAAAATTTTCATTTTCGTTTTTTTTGCGTTTACTATAACTTGCCCTACGGGAAGTTAAAAATCCAATTATTTTTACCGAAGTAACAAAATTTTGTTAAGGTTTTAGAATCAATTAGTTTTAGATAACTTTGTTTTAACTAATCTAACACCTTTTCTACTTTTACTGATTTAAATATATTGATTCTCGGTATTATGTATAGGAATATAGGTCATCAAAAATATTAAATTAAATATTTGTAATATCGAACTTTAATAGATCGTCCAAATATAGTTATTAAATTTATTTTATTCACATTAGGCTTTTGAAGTCCCCCTCACACCCGAACAATCGGCCAATGCACTCAAAATATCCTCGTCCGCATTGAACAACTACTATAACGAAGTAGAAAAATGCCAACCAGGAGCCCTGGAAAAACTTACGGACAACTTGGAACAAGTCCTTAAGGACAGTGCTGACTGCTCGAAACTTACTGATAGCTTAATCAGTTTGGAAATTTGATAACATGCTGTAAATTGCCTAAAAATGGGGCATAACCAGCAAATTGCTATTTGTATTTGTGGGGTGATGTTTTAGCCCATTTATGTAGCAGCAAAACTAATAAAACTAGTTTTTAAAAACATTTGATGCATTTATTTATTTTGAAATAGTATATATACTATATTCACTAATAAAAACATTTAATAATATTCTTGGGTACTTTGTGCTAAATGTGATTATGATTGATTAAACTAATGTTAATTTCCAAT